GAGCCAACTGACCTGTGAATGTAATTCTCACGATTGGTCGGCAGGTCGTAATTGATAACCAGGGACACTTGCTGCACATCAATGCCACGAGCCTGCAAAGCAACACCAAGTCTTCAAGTTAGGGGCTATTTTCAAATTTATCTTGGGCTTTTGTCAACCACATTATTAGTTATGAACTACAACTGCGTAGTCCATAGTGGAGCATGGTCTTTGCTGTTCCAAAAAGCTCCCAACAGTTCAGGTTACAACAACCATCACTTAATTATGAAGCTTTTGGGGTAAGGCTGTAACAGGAATACATTCAATGGAAGACAATGCTCACCAGCAAATCAGTAGTGATCAGGACACGGCTGGACCCTGATCTAAACTCTCTCATGATAACATCCCGCTCCTTCTGGTCCATGTCACCATGCTAGATATCGAAACAAAAAGCTGCAATTAGTACAGTTCCAATGCTCCAAACCAGAATATTCTTTATAGAACAAAGGCATGTTTGAATCCCAGCGTCCCTACCTGCTGTGGAAACGAAGCAGGTAGGGATAGAAAGGAAACATTTTACTTTAAGCAGGGGGAACGATAATACAGCACTGCACAGCTATATTATAACTTTCCTGCTTCTCACTGATAGCCCCTCATCACTCTTTTCCAGTAAATACACAGCATTTCAGAAGTGATTGGAAGCAGCAATTCTCACCAGAGCTGAGACTGTGAAGTCCCTGGCATGCATTTTCTCCGTAAGCCAGTCTACTTTTCTCCTTGTATTCAGGAAAATAACAGCCTGTGTAATGGTCAGTGTTTCATACAAATCACAGAGCGTATCCAGCTTCCATTCCTGATCAGAACAAAGATCATCAGAAAACACATTATGACAGACAGCTTTGTACATGACACAAACTTGAAACAAGGAATAGAACTTAAATACAACCTTAAATTAAGTCTGCTCTGGCACACAACTACATTCAGTATAACCTGGAAACTACGTCAACTTTTTGCATTAATTGTTGCACCAAATCTTCAGACACAGGACACTGGACATTAAGAAAGAGGTCCACCCTAGTCCTTTTCGATCTAGTGCATTGTTTTTCTTCTTCTTGCATTTACTCTACTAGCATTATTGCAGAAACTAAAGCTTAGCCTTGGTTTCCGCAATTTTAGCACAGTGCTTTAACAAGAAGGTAAGAGAACCTCCTGCCAGACCAAGTACAACCAATACCAACCTCTCTCTCAACATTAATGTAGAACTGCTTGATACCCTCCAGAGTCAGTTCTTCCTTCTTCACCAGAATACGAATGGGATCTCTCATGAACTTTTTGGTCACTTCCAACACATCCATTGGCATTGTAGCTGACAGCAACACAACCTAAAATATATTACTCTGTGTTAGCACATCCCCCATTACAACAATTTTCATTTGTACAATTCAGTTCTCAGCCACACTATAATCAAATCTGCATGCATCACTTTACCATATGAAAGCTTTTTTACCTGGATGTTTGTGCTTAGTTTTTGAAAGATCTCATAAATTTGATCCTTAAATCCACGGCTCAACATTTCATCAGCTTCATCCAGAACAAACATTTTGATCCATTTTGGTGCTATTGGAAAAAGAGAAGCATCACATGAAATTTCAGAAATACACAATCCTTTACAAGCATTATGCTTCTGTACTGCTAAGCTTCCCAGCACAACTCTCTACAATGAGAATACACTACAGCTCTTAGTGGGTATGAGGCTTTCATTGGAAATTTATCAGCAAGCGCACACTGAGGTTCATTCATACTTACAAAGATAGCGCCTGTTCAACATATCAAACACACGCCCTGGAGTTCCCACCACGATGTGTGGAGCCTCAGCCTGGAGTTTCTGCATTTCATTGCGCACATTTGTGCCACCAATACAAGCGTGGCATGTTGCTCCCATGTAGTCTCCAAGGGCCAGGATTACCTTCTGAATCTAAAACAGAACCTTTAATTAGTAGTTCATAGGACAATAGAGTTTAAGTCCCATTATCACTGGTTTTTGTGGACTTTGGAAGCCAAGACACCAAATAAGGGCTATGGAGTCCTTGGAACTGACAGCTGCTAAAAAGAACTTGCCCAACTTCACGTAGCTTATGTTGCTAACTAGAAACCAGACAGCTGAGGAACAGTTAAGTTACATTTTTGTTCTTACTGGCTGAACTTGCTGAGTGTCTGCCATAAAACAATTACTAAACTGAGAGCAGGGCCACCAGAAGTGAGCTCAAGCACTCAGCTGTTCAGGCCTGCATGTTAAGCACTTGGACATTCTGCGAATGCTCTCCAAAGGCACCACTACAAGCCAGGTTTTGAAACAAGCCTCACCTCAACAGCTTTACAGTAGAACAAAGGCCTAACATTCTGATAAAAGGCCCTTATGCCATTTATTTTTTCTGTCTGATTTAGCATGTTTAGCTTTACCATGAAGAATTATCACACAGCATGGCATTTCAGTATAGTCCAGTTGAAAATGACAAGTTTTCTACTTTAGAGGTGGTTTAACGTTGCACTTTAAGACCCCTTATTCCTGATACTTATCCTAAATATTCAAGTGTCCTTGAAGTTATTACCACACATCCACTTAACATAACAGAATACCAAGCCTTGAAGGTGAAAGACATGCAAGTATGTTGTCAGGAAAACATACAGATACAAAACCATTTAAAAGTAACCAAGTGTGCACTGCAGTTTTCATGTTGCACAACTGCATTTTAAGTTTAAATAGCTTCAAAACAAGTGTATTTTTTTGTTTCCACTCAGAACACTGGCTTTAGTAATTGTGTTTTTCTCCTGAAGATACTCGTTTCACTTTACACACAGCATCGCAGCTGCCTCCTGCAACCCTGCCCCAACTCACCCTCTGTATTTATTAACTCAGCTCTTTAAGGAGACAGAGAACTTGTGGGACAGAAGCCAGTTTGTATCGCCCCATTACTTTACACAAAAAGGGTTCTGAATGGATATTTATTACAGCCCCATAAGAAGTCTGGTAATGTTGTCTCACAGTTGTGAAACCTGAAACCTATGCAACACACAAAATTTTGTTTTTTTTTAAACTACACTATCAATACCTGTTGAGCCAGTTCTCTGGTAGGGGCCAATACTAGTGCCTGGGACTCCTTGAGATCAATCTCCAACTGCTGCAGGATGGAAATAGCAAATGTGGCTGTCTTGCCAGTACCTGACTGAGCTTGAGCAATCACATCATACCCTAAAAAAAGTAGGATACACATTTACTGCTCCCACATGGGTCAATCACGTTAGTTTTACTTAATTCCCCTTGAAGTAAGTGATCAGTACTAAAGAGGTCTCTCCATTTCAGGTCAGTCCCGAAAGATGGTGTACCATCATATCACTTGTTCAATGAAGATTGAAATTAGTTATTACTGCACACTAATTAAACAATATATGCATTTTATAATGCTTTCCTTATTATCCAATGTTGGTATTAATGAATCTACTGCATACCTTTGATGCATGGAATAATAGCTCTCTGCTGAATAGCTGAAGGCTTCTCAAAACCATAAGCATAAATGCCCCTTAGGAGGGATTCTTTTAAATTCATATCATCGAAATTGTCAACAATCTCATTCCAATTGCTCTGTAATAAAAAAAAAATAAAGAATAAAAAATAAATCTAATACCCCTGTCCACCAGCGATTCAGTTCTCAGGTCAGTTTGTAAGTGCTCACCTCGATGACACCATCGGGCTCCATTCCCTCTGGGCCGCCATGGTCTCTGTAATAAAAGAGAACACGCTGTTAGCACAAGAGCAGCCACCACCACGCAGAAGCGAGCTGACACACAGCGGCGAGGCCCGTGACAGATCATTCCAGCAGGTGCTCTGAGCTTTTGCCAACAGACAAACCCTTACCCCCGAAGGCCGAGCACGGCTCCCGGGGCCGGGCCCGGCGGCCATGGGCGCGCCGAGCGCGCGCTCCCGCGACGGCGCGCGGAGGGGGGGGGGGGGGAGAGGGGGGAGGCGGGCGCGCTCCCGGCGCTGCAGCGTATCCCCCCGCCCCGCCCCGCCGAGGAACTCTCGCGAGAGCTCCACCCCTGGGATTGCGCAAACCGGGCGCCGCGGGCGGGCGGACGGCGCCGGGCGATCGCCTGGGGGGGGCCTCCCCTCCCCCCCGCAAAAAAATAAAATGGTCTCGCCCTCAGCGCGGCCCGAAAACCCGGGGCGAACCGACGGCGCCAGGGAGAACACAATGTCAAAAAAAAAAAAAATCCACAGAAAGGCATTTAAATATTTAAACTACAACACAGCTTTATACGAAATAATTTCGAAAAAGTCCTCATTAGGGCTGACTGGATTGCTAAGAAAGCCTGTAACGACAATCGAGCCCCGAGGACTAGAGCTAAACCGTTGCTGAACCGCGAGCAAGGGGAGCGAAGGACCGAAACGTCTAGAACGGGAGGGGCCAGGGCGCAGGGCTGATTGTCCACAGTGTCCTGCTTCCCCCAGGGCGCTCCGGCTCCCACCCCTCGACCTCCATCGACTTTCCCTCTCTCCCTGGCTGCCCCCGCATAACCCACGAACCCCCCCAATGTGGAAAGAGCCTAGGCCCTCACCATACCTGCTATAATCCGCGGAGCCCCCTGACATGTTCCGATCACCAGCTCTGTCCTCAACTGAAAAGGCAAGCCCTCCGCGGCGCCCGCCTTATATACCCGCCCTACTGCCGGACTCGTTGCGCTCAGCTCTGCGCATGGATATATACCTTATGCCACACTCAAAAAAGCAAGAATCCCTCCGGTTTAAGCCCTGTACCCCAAGAGCTTCTCGCCACGCGACTTTTTCAGTTAATCCGAACGTTGTGTATGTACCTCTGGGGTCTACGAGGCTACGTGGAAGATAGAACTACTTTTTTTGTTCAGCTCGCGGAAGGATATTGCACCATTGAGTGCGTCACAGCGCCCCACTCCTTCCTCCCTCTGCCTCCCCTTCCCCCCCGCGCGCACGGGGTTTCCCGTCCGGTCCCTGCTGCAGCGCGGGGCTGGAGGGGCAATGGCGGGGCCGGGCTGAGGGCACCGCGAGCGGCCGTGCGGCAGCGGCTGGGGCGGCATAGCCGCCCCTTTTCGTGGTCGCGTTTTCCCCACCGTGTTGGTTGTTTTTAAAGCCCCGGGTTTTTAAAACCTCGGATTCGGGCGGGGGGAGGTGGCAGGAGAGAGAAAGAGGCTTCCTCGGGCGGGGGCCGGCGGCCGCGCATCCGCCCCATCTGCACACAGAAATGGCTCCCAACTCCTCCTCCTCCTTCTTCTCCACACACCCCGAGCTCTCCTCCTGCGCTCCCGGAGTGGGGGCAGCGCTGGGAGCTCAGGGAGAGGCCCTGAGGCGAGGGGGGCTGATGGAGGCGCCTCTGAGGGCTCCCGGCCCCGGGCTCGCAGCCAGTGCAGGCCGGCGGGCCCCTGCCTGAATCCCGCAGACTTGTCCCGAGGCGCTGAGGGTGGGCCATTCCTGAGGGGCATGCAGGAGTGTGTGTAGGAGACACGCTAGGTGGTCCTCGGGGTGCTGCCGAAAGCACGCTGCTGCGATGTGCTGCAGATCGCAGTACACGAAAAAAACCTGGCAAGAATGATTTAAAGGTTAGTGCAGTCCAAAATAAAGCATTGAGAGAACTGTTACTGTGCAAACCGATTGCATGATCATGCCCAGCGCTTTCTACCGTGGTAGAAAAAATATCGATAATTTTAATGCTCTTTTCATGTTTCACAATAATCTAATCTATTCATCAGTATTTCTTATGGAGGCAAGTAATACCAATTATAAGCAATAATTTTCTGCCACCTTTGTGTGGTTTTTGTATCACTTTGCAGTCTGTTTCCATAGTGATTATATATGAAGAAATGGAGGCAGTGCTTGAAAAACACAACCCTTTACTTGTCTAGAATATTGTACATTGTCTGGAACCATCTAGAATATACATAAAGGGAAACTCTCAAAGACTATTAACCTTAAATCTTCCTATGGTAGCATTTGCTGGGGTAATATTATCTGTAGAAATACTACAACCTGCCACTATCCCAGCAAAATTATATAAATGCAGCTCCACTGTCAGCCTACCCTAATGCTCTCAAGTTCTTTCTGTCCACCCCTGCTGGGTAGAAAATATTGAGGATATTTCGTGTGTTTGCAGTTCAGCTAGACACACAACAATAGCCAGAGGCCTTTTAAATGAATGATGCCAGTTTGCATGGACTATTAATCTCTGGTTGAAAAAGAAACAGGATGGACTGAAGAAAGAATGTGAACACAGTTTTGGGCTGGCACAGTTAGATTTCCTACTGCATTAAAAGTGATTTGAGTCTAAATGGAGAAATAGCACTACTGAATATTTGTTAAGGATCTTGAATATTTATTAGGAAAGCTGTTGAATTTGATATGATGGATATTTTTATTCAAGCACTGCATTTAAGTCTTAGTAGATTTGCAAATCTGAGAGGAAAAGATTTCCAGACATGTGGGAATTTCAGGAGGGTAAGCCATCATTCTTCACAGACCTGAAATGGCATCTCAGAAACAAGTATCTGCTGTATCTTTTCCAATAAAGAAATCAGTGTCATTTCAGGCTGCCTGGGTATTCAGATCACTTTGAGTGTTCAGATTTGACAACAGTTTTCTAGTAAAGTCTTGTTAAGGCTTTCCTGGCTTTTTTTAAGGAGAATTTGTTCTCATTGCTCTAGCTTGCTGCAAATGGTAAAACTTCATTCTACTAAAAAATAATCAAAAAACCTTGAAAATTTTAAACTATTATTATCTTCAATCAAGAGGGACAATTTTTAAAGTTGCTATTGTAATTTACTGGCTAAAATATTGGGTGGTCTCTTGATTAAATGCCAGGATTTCTTGGCATTAGGCAGCTACAGAGCCAAACAGGTCCCCCTGAGCTCCTGGTCACTGGCCTTTATCAAGGAGCTTGAAATATTGCTGTCTCTGAAGATTTTGTTCATTTCTGATTCACCTAATGCTTAAATATAAAGAAAAGCCTGTGAGCAGACTGGTTTCTGCTGTCACATGGTCATGGTAGAGTTTGGCAGAATTTGATCAAATTATTTGACCACGTATTTGCTCTGGTTCATGGTTGTTTTAATGCAGTGACACTCCTCAGTCCAGATGCTCTGTTTGCCTCATGTGTATGACTGGAACAATGAAATTATGATTTAAGAAACAAATCATCAGTTCTCACGTAAAAGCTATTTATTATATGGATGTTGCACATCTATATTGTGTATTAAGGTATATAAGAAAAGGAACCCAGTGTTTCTTCCAGTGGAAATCATCACCTCCTTTCACCAAATGAAAAGATGAAAAAAGTTTTGTTTCACAAAATACAAGCAAGCGGTTGGAAACACAGAATCAGTCTTCTCTTTTTATGAAAAAAGATATCTGGTCTTCTTGTATTAGCAATGACCCCTAACTGCACTAGAGGAAAAAATCCTACATTTATACCCTTTAAAACCTCTGTACAACATTTGAGAAATATCTCTTTGGTCACAATAGTGCAAACAGCCTTTTCATGTGTGTTCATATCTACTTTGTGTATTTTTGGGCCAGTGTTAGCCGTACTCTGCCTGAAAGAAAGGAAGCATCAAACTGAGAGATACCAAAAGGTCAGATTATGTCACTGACAAAAATCTTATAATGATACTGGGATTTCTTGTGATTCCTTGGCTTTAAATCTGATTAAGCTTTTAGAGCAGCCTCATCTGAAAACTTGCTCCCCAAGGACCAGGTTGATGTTATCTTCAGGCAGAAGGGATACCAAGAAGACACTAAATAATATGTCTGTGCTGCTAAAGATAGGATCCACAGCCACATATATATGTGCACTTTGTATACTTCTGTAGATGTTTCCCAAAAAGACAATCCCAGTGAATCATGAGCTCTTTAGTGAGAGTGAACATAATAATATGTTTATTAAGAGGGGTAACAGATGGACTAGCTGGTTTAGCAGCTGGGTTTCCAGTGATTATTCATGCAGACTGAAGTAAGGAGTGACGTATTTAAAGAAAGCAGTAGGAGCTGACACCTCCTGAAACTGAGCTCCAGTTGAGCAATCCCAGCTCACCAATAATGGTACAGTGTGCATTAGGAAATCTCAGAAATCTCCTTTTAATAATCTCATGGCTTGATTTGAATTTGCCATGAAACTGCCAGGTACTTCATAGGAAACCTGCAAGATCCCAGAATTCTTTTCCTGCTTCTTTAAGTCTGGTGCCAGGGTTCAGACTGTGTATTATTGATTGCCATGACTGGCAGGGCAAGGAAGGTAATGGTAAACAGACAGAGTTTGCTCACAGTTGGTCATGTTAAAGATCAAGATGGTTTGTTAGGGTGTTGTTAGCAAGAAGTGATCATTTTCAGTTCAGCAGTCCCAAAGGATCCTGCCTAAACAAAAGCATGCTTCCTCAGATGTAAGAGTGGATAGGTTCTGGAAACCTCCAGAGGGGAAAGAAAGTCCAAATTCCTGGAGTCCCATGCTTGTTATTTAAATGCAGTCAGGGTGTCATTAATGCTAACAAGCATTTTTGGTCATTCCATTGAAATTACAATCTTAAAAAGCTGAACAACAAGAATGTATAAGATACAGTGTTTTTAATGGATTGAGAATGCTGGCTTTGTATTCTGTACTCCTCAGTGTAATCTGAAATGCACATTATGATGACTTTAGTACATTGGGATGTTGGGCCTGCTTTGCCATCCTTCTTAAAAATTATTTTACAACTTTGTTACATTTTGACTAGATATTTCTAGTCTTTGTAACTGTAGTTACAAAAAATTTGTGTTGTGAAATCTCAGTGATATCCCTGTTGAGTGAATTGAAAGTACATCCAGAATTTCCTCTCTCTGTCCAAGTTCTGTCTCACTGAATAGTTGTGCACTAGGCCAATAAGGAACGTATTCAAAGATGCTTGAATTATTTAGGTGCTAAGCACTATGGAAAGGCAGTGGGATTTAAACTGCTTTGGTTGATTTAATTGCTCCACATGCTCAGTCTATTCAAGATATTCAGGCTTGTGCAGAGGATGTGGGGTGGACAGAGCCTTTTGCTGGCCAGCTGACTCACTTGTCTGAAATGTTTGTGGGGTGGTTTATGGCTTGTGCTTCCTAATTGCTTGGAGCATACATCTCCAAGGAGTGTTCCTGCTTCAGTTGTGCCAAATTTTGTTTCTTAGCTTAAGTTCTCTCATTCCCAGTTAGATTTTTTTTATTGGAATAATTTGTTCAACTATTTAAGACTAATTTACTTGGGTTTGTTTTTTTTTTTTTTTTAAATAGCAAAGTTGTGTGAATTTAATCTTTCAGGTTATTTATCCATTAATGTATCTCCTCTTAGAGTTTAGAGTTTAAATTCAGACTCATAGTGACCCTCCCACATTCAGAGGTTTGGAGTTATTTGTTACTTATTTCTTACTCTGAATGATGAAGTTCTTGCTGAATTTTTAAGAAAGATGGTGTTTCTTCTATATAGTGGGACAGCTCTGGTAAACTGCTGCTGAAAAGGAAGCAGCAGAATGGTCTGGGCCCTCAGAGGAACCTCGGTTTCTCGGCCCTCTCCCAGGGGGTCAAAAAATCTAAAGAACTAAGCGAAGTTGATTGCTGCTTATTTTTATAGTGGGTATAGTTTAATCCAAAACTTTAAATTTGTGAAAAATTTCCCTTTTACTTTGGTTAGCATTTGGTTGGTCTTCTAATAAAAAAACTAGGGTTAATACTAGAAAGTCAGTATTCAATTTTTTAGTTGAAGTATGTAAATTACTGTTAATTCTTTAAATGAGTGTAATATAAGAAAACTGTCATATGGACTCACTTATGGAGGTCTTGTAATTTTAGTAACAATTCTGGTAATAAAAATGTTGGCACAATAAAATCTTAACCTAAATACTTGAAACAGAAATATGCTGGTTTTCTTCTATGATTTTTGTAGTCATCCAGGCCTCTTGCATGCTATAAAATTCAATAATTACAGTTTTATGTCTTGAATGTTCTTCTTGATTGAGCACTTAGATTATTTGTTTCCAAGTTTTCAAGGTTTATAGTCAAGCCCAGGACACGAAATCAGCTTCGTTCTGTTCATCTGTTGTGTTAAGGACTCCTAGTGTGACCACAGACTGGAATTTTAGGACTAAAATTGAGCAGATGTTTGCCATTGAATGAGAACTCTTTTTGCACTTCAGTCTTCTTCTCTGTAATGTGGGGCTGATATTATTTGTCTCAGAGGTTATGCTTGGGCAAATCCTTTAAGAATGTGGAGATGAGTAATGGAAGGAGGCCTAGAAATCTTTGGTAGAAGTTTCAGGGTAGAGTTTGTTCTTTATATTACAGAAGTAAATAAAGCTGAGAGATGAACCAAGTGGCAGATGATAGCACCCTGACACAGTTGTGGTTACATTTATTTTTTAAGCCATGAAATACTGCATGTCATATATTTCTGTGAGACAATTGGCAAAGAATATTTTTTCCAGTTCCAAGAGAAAGGCAAATATAAGCCTGTGCATTATTTTGAAGAAAATTGTTTTCCTTCTGCTATTGGTTAACCATCTCAGCGCATTGTTTGTTCTCTTATTATACAAGTTTGCAATCCACTGATATTGCTTGAGTTTTTTAATTGCTGGTTTCAGTTGGTTAAGTTTTGGAACAGCCACTACAGGCACACCTATATCTGTATTTAACTTGAGTACTTTTTCTTATTGGTAAAAACGCTGAGTGTTATGTGCTTAGTAGGAGGAAGTAATGCATGGGAACCAAACCCAAGATGAAAACACCAAAAAGGTCAAAAAGTTCTTTGACTTTTACAGGGGTAAATTCACAGGACCCATAAGTGGTAAAAAAAGTACTAATCTCTAATGTATGCTGTAGATATGTGTACCTTGATAAATGCCCTGTGTCCTGACTGGTGACAGCAACGAGCCATGTGACTCTGTCTGTCCCCATCCCAGTCACACTTTTGGATGTCAGAACAAACACACTGTGCTTTCCAGAGTGTGTGTGCAGCACTGTGAGGTGTGAGGGCCTACCTCAAATTAGTGACAACAAAATGTCTGGTGTTATCAGCTGATACAGCACTGCACAGAGAGCTTTGCTTTGAGTGTATTACAGGCTATAATACACTCTGTGTTTATTGTCAGAATGTTTCAAATGTGTACATCTCTAAGCAGTAAGACATCACAGAAATAATTTCATTTTTCCCTAACAGAAGTGCTTTCTGTTCATATCTAGTGTTGGATATTAACTGAATTCTCTTGTTTCTTTTCTATCAGAGTATTTTAACCTTTACAACAGTATTTTGCAGTTTATAGAGCTTGTTGTAACATGTAAAAGTTAACAATAAAACTAAATACTTTGTCATTAATAAAATGAACTCTGTGATCAGAAGTATTGGCCTCAAGGTAAATCTTAATTTCTATAAACTGAGAGTTTCCTACTGAGCTTTACTTTTCATAAGAAAATTGAGACTATTCATTTCTTCAGGTTTGAAGAAATAGCTTAGATCCCACAAGTTTTGTTTCTGTCACTGATACTGGCACAATGTGAAACTATAGATGAGTCGTTTCAGCTTTGTGCCCTTCTTTCATCTCTTGTAAAATGGAAATTATTATCTCTCTTTGAAGAATCTCTTTTTGTAAATTGTAAATTTGTAAATTGTAAAACTGGGACTGATTGCTTTGTGAGCTGTGCTTCAGCCTGCAAAGCAGCCAGCTCAGGGTGGGGAAAAGTTTAAAAAATGTTTAAAAAAATTAATCAAGATCAATATTCTGACTTGTTTAATCATTTTATTTGTTTAGTTTCTTAATCCTTCTGAGATTTTTTTTTTTGATGAAAATATAACTATTCAAAGGCCTTTCTCTTCAACAGTGTTAGAGATGCCACTCTCGTGGCTGAGTCTCAGTTGTGTGCCCATGAAGCTGTAGTGAGCCAAGTGAGCTGCTAAATAGAACTGCTCTGGGGGCTTCTGTTTGGTGCTAGGAAGCCTCTGTAGGCCAGTCCTTAGCCGCAGTTGTTTGTGCTTCAACCCATCCCAGGACTCTATTCTATATTATTTTGTATGCCAACTGAATATTGCAGATGAAACAAAAATGAACATGTGAGGTACTGGATAAGGAAGGAATTCAATGTTTTCCTCTCAGGTTGTGCCCAGGAATTCCTGCCTGTGTTTTCCATGTTTTCCAGCAAGTGTGGGCATGGGCTGATGGAAGCACAGACAGGATGCAGGCGATCCCTTTCCTTCAGCCAGGAGTAACTGTAGTGTTGCTCGGGCCAGTCGAGGACATGCACTTTAACACATCATGTCACAGCAATTGGCAGTGGCCAGAAACCTTTGTTCTTTACACAGCAGGAGAGAGAAATGCAAGTTCATGCTGGATTGCAGGAATATATCGATTGATTTATTTTGTGCATGTGATAAAAGTGATTAGATTATAAAATACGGCAGTTTTTTGCAGTATATAGAGAGAATGTATGTGCCTCTATTCGAAGTATTTTCATCTTGTGCTTTGATTTAAGAGCATCTGCTAATAATTGTTTCTGAGTCTTAAGTAGATGGGTTTTTTGCTGTCATATTCAGCATTTATTTGTAGCTCATTGTTCTCATTAATTTAGAAGTAACAAAGTAAGAAATCAGGAAAATCCTGATTTTGAAGCAGGCAGATGCTTTAATACTCAGTAACTACCCAACTACTGGTAGTTTTTCTTTTGTTGCTTTTTTGTTCTCTAAGGTTTGTGATATAAATACATTTCTAAATGTATTCTGGTATATACTTTTCCATGGATTACAAGACTACAAGATTTTGTATGCCATTATTGCCTTTATTTCAGCAGGATTTTAACAAACAAAGCACTGATTTAATTTAGGTACTAATAACAAATAAAGACTGTCAAAAATGACAAATTCTTAGAGGACTTTTTTTGAATGTAATACTGTGTATATCTTAAGAATTCTCTTTTTTCAGCTCTCTATCCAAGAAAGCTGAGTTGTTGCAAAGATGATTTTTACAGTTAATTACCCAAATTAATTTCTCTGATTTCCTTTTAGTATTATTCATTTGCATTGCTAATATTCGTCTCTTCTGGGAATGTAACTTTGTACCCCCTGGAACACACTTTTTTTCTGGATAATTGTGGAATTGTGTTTACTAATTTACATCACCTCACAATTATCTTTTCTGATTTCCTGGGCTAACAGGCTGTGTATCTTTATGCAGAGGGAAGGAGAATGGAGCGAGAACTGTAAAGGACTGCTGCCTCAGAACTGCTGTTGCCATAGAGCTGCTAACAAGGGAAAAAAACTGCAGCATGGATTTCTTGTGCTGCTGAAGGTAAGATGAGGGCACAGCAAAGACTGTAGGAGGGGGAGGGGAGGCGAGGCAGAGGGAGGGAGAAGAGGAAGAAAGTCTGCGTCCTTGCTGTCTAAAAAAGGAAATTCAGTGTCAGTGTTCATGAGCAGAACTGCTGGTGCAGAAGAACAAAGCTATCTCAGTTGTTTAGGGTAGCAGGAGTGATGAGCAAGCAAGCACACTCCCATGCTTTCAGGAGGAAATGCTGCAAAGAAAGGAGGGAGAAGAAGAGTGACTTTTTCCTTTAGAAAATACTCACTGCTGCTTCAAGGTAGCTGCTTTTTGATACTATTTGGGCATTAACATCATTACCATGGGTAAAGATAGCCATGAAAAAACTCAGTAGGGAGATAAACAAGAAGAAAAAATGGGAGTAAAAAATTCAGCATAATCTTGAGCTGACGAATGTGGTTTGTATGTATTAAAATGTCTCAGTTGTTACATTCAGCTGTGCAGTGCAGTGAAACCTTTCAAAATGCAAATGAAATTATGTTTTTTGTGGTAAGATTGTTGTGATATGTTGATGTGTTATCAACCTATTATCAATGATCTTTTGTCTTCTCTTATCTAAGTAGATGTTTTTTGAGAGGAAATGTATAATAAATAAATAAAAATTAATATTAGATACTCAAGCATACTGACTACAGAACCAACATCAGACATACTTTCTGTAGTATCTCTTTAATGGATTGACCTTTGTAGTAGTTTAAGACTTCAATATCGTTACAGAATTATCTGCAACACACTCATGCAAAAGCTGCTGTTGCTGCTTCTACATCTGTCTATCGTGTTACATATTTTTTGCTATCCTTCACCTGCTCCTTCTCCCAGTCACTAGGATGTTTCTGAGGTGTCTGAACCCATGTGCCCTGCACAGCAAACCCAGCACACCTGCCATGTTTGCATGGTGGGGCCTTGAGGAGAATAAAACAAACTGTGGAGGCAGCGAGAACACTGACTATGTTGATACTCCTGTGCTGATATTGCTTAACCATCTGTTTGCTGTGTTATCGAGTGTGCTTGGATAGATCAGCCCTTTCTCACAATTTCTTGTTTTGCACTTTATCACCATTTATCAAATAGTGTTTGACTGTTCTCCTGTAGTCTGTTTGCAGTTTGGGTCAGAGTGAATTTTTTTTCTATAGCAGCCTGATAGTACAACTGAGTAATTCAGGCTGTAAATGTTAGGGATTTGGATTTTTATTTTTAGCATTACCACCTCTCACTGCAAAATTGTTATTCTTTGAGTGTATAGAGTTTAGCTCATACATTTTTCAGTCATGAATGGCACTGGGCGAGATCTATCAATCATGAATACATAAGTTTCCATTTCCAAAGTTTGTGATGTGGAATTGGATGTTCAAATGTATTTTTACTAGCCAGACTCATTTTTGATTCAGGTTAATTTTGTTAAACTTGTAAGTTACGGAAAGTTCTCCTGGATTCTTTAGAACCATTATTTTAATTTACTTTGTTCCCCAGTGCACTTGAGGTTGATAACATCCTTTTAAGGTTTGTGGGGGTCCTCTGAGCCAGTGCATGTGAAGTTCAAGTCTTAATACATGACTGCAGCATCCCCATGTAGTACAAGTGATGGTGATTTAGTTCAGTGTCAGTAAGGAGTTTAGTCTCTTTCTCTGAACAATTGATAATGCCTTGCTGAGAGAATAATTGTGTTAGGACTGATTTCCACAAAGCATTAGGGGCTACATCCCAGAAGAGATCACTGAACTTCTGAGTCAAACTAGTTTGGGTTCTTCAGAGACATGAGATGATTATTCAAACAAGTATGACCATGTAATAAACACCTCTTCGTAGAATAAGTGCTAAACAAGGAATGGATGGGCCCTATCCAGACAAAAATTTAGTTGCCTTATATAAATATTCAGTGGATGTTTAGTGTTGCAGTCTAAGATCAATGTAATAGTTTTTCATTGGCAGAGGGATGGGCAGAAGCGCAATGTTGCTAAATGAAAGGCTATTCTCATAAATTTCCAAATAGTATGAATATTTATTTGTTCCAGTTGATGCATTGATGGTGGCTAGTATGTATTTACAGTGAGTAAGAGCAGAGCTGCAGTAGTGCTGGTACAGAAATGTCTTGAGTAGAGTGCACCCACATTATAACCTTCATATTGCTGCTGTTCCTATGCCAAACTGTCAGCTACAGCCCACAGATCTATCAACTTCAAAGTTTCAGAGGCATCTTGGTTGTCTTATGATAGAAAAGCAACTTAATGAAGCTGAACAAGACAGAGGAGTTGTTTGTAAATCTAGTAATATGTCCACATGTTTGTATTAAATTCTGAAGAAACAGGTGATCTTGTAGTTTATGCTTGGTTTGCCTGAGTCTTCCACCTGGTTTATACTGTGGGAGTGATCAAGAGAAAAAGAAAGTACAGCAAACATTGCCCAGAACACTCTAATCTCTGTATTTGGGCCAGGAAAAAAAAGCTCTTAAGCCACTAGTGCTGCTGTAGTTAATGCCAGGACTTGCACCAATTCTGAAAACACTGTAAAATATAAAAGCTTCTTTGATGCCTATTGCTGTCCATAATTAACTTTTTGAGGTGTTGCACTGCTCAATTTCCATCTCAACCACTCCAGGTAATATCAACTTTCCACATGACTTTGGCTGAGTGGTCCAAGGCCAGATTTTTGAAATGCTGAGTACCCATAATGCTATTTAAGGTCAATGGAAGCACAGACTTCTCAGCAAAATGTAAAATCAGGCTTCTGCACTCAAACAGGAGATTTTAGGTTAGCATTCACAAGACTGCTTAAATGATCAGTCTGAATTCTGGATTCCTTCTGGAACTGATTTTTTTCTTTTGCAGAGCCTGAGTTATGTCCCATTATATCCCTTTGTTTTTATTAATTTTGTGAGCATTACTAGTCTTTTAGTCAGTACACAGCTAGTAGAACAATTGACACATAAAAGGAAGATAATTCCATTATAGTAGATTTACTTCTTCATAATGTTCTCTGGCATCTTTTTTCTATTGGATTAAATGGCAAGAAATTATCTTCTGCTGACATGCTTAACAGTTAGAATAAGAAATAAAACAGTGTTCCATTACCTGTGTTTGGTGGATTTTTCAAGGCACTGAACTATAGTGTTTTGGCCATGTAGGATGAAGTCTTTCTTTAAACATGCTCCTATTGATATTCTGTTGATAAGCATTATGTTTCCCAACTTGAAAACAATAATCCTCAATTCTTGTCTAGCCCAATTGTTTGAGTTTTCTTATAGTAATTTAAGTTTCAGTTAACAATACATCCTTGTTCATTCTCTGCCTTAGTCAGACTTGTTTTGTTCCCTTGTTTTTCGCTGAAACGATAGTATTTGTTTTGTTTCAAGCCAAATGGTCTGTTGGATCCTGTAGTAAGTGCATCCAGTGGAAGATGGAGAGGCATCCACCAAATTCATATAGGGCCTCTCATAAATATATTTTGTCTTTGCATTTTTAAAACAAAAATGGCATGACTATAGATTCTGCAAGAATTCTGATTTTTTGTGGCTTAATTTGAGTAAGGTAAGTATTTTAATGCCTGATCTTCAACCCATAGCTCAGCACTATCTGTAGTCATGGTAGAAGAGAAAAGAATCACTATGAGGTTTCTAATGCCTGTTACTCCATAGTGGTAGGAGTTACTTCTTTGGGCAGTAGATTGAAACCATTGCAGGAGCTGCAGTATTAGGAGTATTCATTGCAGCAAGATGCCTTACCCAACTAGAAAAACCTTCACTCTTTACTCCTTAATGCACCCTTCCTCTTATTTTAGAATGCAGTAGAAACATTGTGTTATTAATTGCATTTTCCCAAATGAACTTGCACATAAAGTTTAATTAAACTGTGGGAGCTGATTACACTAATGTGGACTTGTAAACACAGCAGAATTAGGAATTGTGGGTGAGTAGCTGGTTACAAAATTGAAAATATCTCTCCCCATTGTTATTTTTAAAGAATATATGAGGAATTTGTACATTAGATTTAGTACAGCTCTGTCTACATTACAATGGCCATGTAGTAGTGTAATTTCTAATTCTGTAGACACTTAGACTCATTTATCCTCAGAGCTGTTATTCCTAAATTGGGAGTAATTATCTTACTGTCTGAGAGACCTGAGAAAACAAGGAAAGAAATGGGTTCTTACATCCTATCAAACAGCAGTGTTCATCCTTAGTGCTCCACATGTTCTGATGTCAGGTGTTTGCACAGCTCTCTCCCGCAGCTTACACTGTGTGAACATAGCACTGGAGGATGATTGAAACTGCTGAGTGTGATGAAAAGGTCATGTCTGAATAATGGCAAAAATCCAATAGTCCATCCATAGTCAAGCTGAGGAATTTTTCATATGGTCAGTTAAAATATGTGTTTTGTCCTATTGTCACAGATGGAATGAACAGGGGAGTGAGCACATTAAATTCAGACAGCTGCAGAATGGCCATAATGTGGCTCTGGATGTCATCAGTACGAGTAAACAGAGGTTTAATTCAGACATATTTTCATACCCCAGACTCCTAGTTCCGATTATCTATATCAGTAAGAATGCAATTTTTCTGGTGCGGGAGTAGCCCTTATTTTTCATGTTCATGGAATTACATTTAGAGTGTTATTTATATGCTTTGCTTATAGTAAGTAACTGGCAAGCATCGAAACTCTATTGCTAGAGCTTAATATTTAAAGCAGATTGCACAGATGGGGTGTTTTTAGTTACAGTGTTACTCGCCCAGAAGAAACGCTGAGTGTTAAGCCTACTAAACCATTCCTGGCGATGACAAACCTGACAAAATTTGGCGATCATAAACCCTGTGACAAAAGTTGTGCCATCTGCTGGCCAAGGAGGAAAGTGCGGGCTGGATAAAGCGCTCCGGCGTGATGCCGGCAGGAGGAGAAGCTGGGAGTTTTGCAGAGCTCTTCTGCAGCTGAGCGGGAACAGGCCTGGTCAGGAGTTTTCTCGCAGCAGCTTCTTCCACC